CGAGACAGTCTTACCTGTTATCTTCAACTTTGGCTCTGATTGGTCTCCCCACCCTTTCATCACCTTAGTCATATAAGCAGGGTCACTGCGAAGATTTCTTCAGTCGCGTCGCGAATTCGGGAGTGTACAAATAGCCAGAGGAGAACCGGGGGCCGCTGCTGACCTCTGCTGGCCGCTGCTGACCACTACTGGCCAGCGCTGACCACAGCTGACCATGGCTGACCAATACTGATTCGCGTTCCTGCCACTACTGACCACTACTGACCAGTGCCGGACGGTGATGACCAACGGTAAGAACTGTTTAAAAATTCTCTCCCCTCTTCTATTCTATCATTTGATGCCAATTTTGCTTCAATGAACTGATTTTGCCTTGTTTATCTAACCGATGTTGCTATAATATGAATATTTTCTTACTTTACAGCTGGCCCTTATGGTAACTAGCCTATGTACTGACAACAAGTAGTAAGTCCACTCCACTTATTTATATTTTATTATTTTCATTTGTTTGTTTGATGTGAATTCAACTGTATTTATCTATCTGATTTTATTTGGTTATTATGAATGTTCCTTTTCTATGTTTCTACTTTTACATTGTTTGTCGAATTTATCTGATTGCTTTGATATGTATAGTATTGCAGGATATAATAATGTAGTATTGTTTTCAATCATATACTATATTCGTTTCTACACGATTCCATGAATTTTTATTTTTACCTTCTTGCTCGAATTCTCGTAATATTCTGCGGAGGTACTTTCTTTGATTCTTCCATTTCGTTTGATTCTTTGGTGTTGATTCAATTTGGTGTCTCGATCCAAGTTCCTATCGTTGTTACGAATGGTCGTTTTGAGTTGTATCACATTGTGTCGATGTATATACTGTATTCGTTTCGATGATACTGATCATTAGAAGAATGTTCGGTTTGATACGTAAAACATGGTGTCGATGGATATGCCATATTTGTTTCGATGGCACCGATTAATATAAGATTTCTATTTTTACGTTTAGCCCCTTTAGCTAGGTGATAGATTATTTTTAAGTGTTTATTAAATTTCCTACCATGTCTCACTAATATAAATATTAGTTTTGATTTCAGTTTAAATTTGGATTAATCGCAAGGACACCGAGGGAGAACGCCGCGACCGCTGAGGGACTTTTAATTCCGAGTTGATTAGTCTTAAGCTTCGTCGCGAGTATTAAAATTAAAGTCGAAGCCTTCTTTATTATACGTGTCTCCGTGTCCTACCAAGCAATTATTCAATAAGTAGATTGTGTCTCTCGCTCGTTCCCTCGTTCCTAGCTTCGGTCACCGCTGTTTCATCGATTGAAACATGTGATCGGCCGTGTAGCTAATCCGAAAGATCTAATCGCCTTCCCATTGGTAGCTCGATCCAGGGAAAATGGTACTTTGCTGGAAGGTGTGGAGTTTCCGTATCCTGCGGAAACGCATACCTTCCAGCGAAAGTCGACACTGAAACAGAGGTACTCTCTCTTTGTCAGACAACTTGAGTCGGGTCCTTCGGGCTCCCGGCGGGTTGCGTTGGAGCAATGGAGACCTTAGATTCGGAGTCGCAGCCGTCCGTTATCCTGTAGAGATCTAGTTAGCAAGGGCAGTAGGTTCGATCCTCGGATCCGCTGCACGGTTCAGCGTCGCGTCGCGTCGCTTCGCGTGCCCCTCAAATTAACTTCGTCCCTCTTTTTAACCAAATAATTGCTTGGTACATCCAAGGAACTTTGTTTCCTTCTATCGTCCGAATTTTAGTTTCAACTTGACCAGACTCGAGCTTCGACGTTAATTTTAAGTCCCTATCGTACGCGTCTCCCAATATTTCCAAGTAATTATTTAACAAGTAGCTTCTCTCGACTCGTTCTCTGGTTCCTAGCTTCGATCACCGCTGTTTCATCGATCGAAACATGTGATCGGCCGTCCAGTTTGTCCGAAAGATCTAGTCGCCTACCCATGATAGATCGATTGCTAGAAATAGGAATCAATCTACCAAGGGCAGTGTTGATTCGATCCGAAGATCTGCTGCACGGTTCAGCATCGCGTCGCGTCGCGTATCCCATAATTTAGCTTCATCCCTTTTTAAACGAAATAATTACTTGGTAGCTAAGCTTAGCTAAAAGGGAGATCGATGGAACTATGATTCCATCTATCTCCCTTCGGGTCTCCATTCGCAGCAACCTCCTCGTGGTGAGACCTGGTAATCGGTGTCACCCACGATAGAAAAGTTATTCTTCATGGGTGACACCGAGCTAATGGCTGCGAATTTCGAATTGTTTCTTGATATAATAAACGAATTTAGATTTATAGTTAGGCAGGTGTTTGGTTAACCATTATGTTAGGCAGGTTATTTTTATTTGAAGACAAATTTTTTTGAAAATTCTTTTAACTCTCTCTGTTGGTTATGCATCTTTCATTGGTTGCACTTTCGTTTGTTTCTTCTTCGACCAACGATCGTGGGTCAGAGAAGATTTTTATTAATGGAGGGTGGTTGGGAATCGGTTAGGGCGGGTCTCCATTCGCAGCAACCTCCACGTGGTGAGACCTGGGTAATATTATTTAGCGTTTAATTAATAATCGTATCACTCTTAGCTGGGCAATGCAATTATTAATTAAAAACTAAATAATATTAGCAAATTGGCTGCGATCCGCGTTGCATAGGTCATCATAAATATAGAGCTTCTTCAATAGATTAGTTTTGATTGTCATTGATTCATCAAAGATTCTAGAATATTGTCACAGATGAGGTATGGAAGTAGATCCTTCATCCAATGTATTTTTGCGGCCTATTTTTATGGGGTCTCGAAACCCCATTACCATTTTCGTGTCATTCGCAACGTTACCAACAGATTCAGAAATGAATTTTAATCTCTTCCATAGTCAACTCACATGTATTTACGCAACACTACAACTGTTTGCCTATCAATGCTAATTCAGTGAATAGTTTCTCAACTGACCGCCATCCATGTGAAGAGGACGCTAAAGTCACCTCCGAATTTTCAGGTCGGTATGGCAGTGAAATTGGGCCACGAAAGTCCATAAGGTGAAAGTTCTACTCGTATACTTCCGTCTGTGTCTTTATTAATGAGTTTCTGTACTGCAAAGCGTGGATGTACATTTTGTACCATCAAAACTCGAACTACTCGTCAATGTATTTGGGCATTGTACCATAGATGGCGATACTGTCTTCCATACAGGTTTCCTTTATCATCAAGAAAATAAGCTTTAGACGTAGCATCATCAATTTATAAGTCTAATTGTAAGTGTATCATAGATTACAAGCTTAAGTTAATGAACAGAATTAAAAAAGAAAATTAATTAAATAACCTTGGGTGTTTTATCGTCGAGAGTTTTGTCTGTATCATAAAATGAAGTTTAAAAGTAGTTTGGTCTCGAACGTTTTGAAATCACTAGTTTAGAGACAGAAAGGCATATCGGCAACTTTGTGCGAAAACTTCCGAATAGTTAATTGCACGAGAATTCAGTTGCAATAAAATTCAGTCATTTTACAACTGTTGGGAATATGTTGCTTGTAATTTTCATGTGCATTTTAATCTCAATTAGTTTGACATGCTTGACCTATGAGATACTGACTTACATAGCGTAAATAGTGAAAGGGGTGCGATAGGTTTAAAAAGGAGAAATCAGGTCGCGGACGATGTTCTGTGCCTTTTGAAACAGGTTCTGCATAGAAGGTTCAGTGGATTATCCTTATTACGCATGTGTATATGCCTAGCGTGCAATTCGATCGCAATCATTGCGATTGTGAACACTCCTGTCGCGCTAGATATTCAATACCTATTTTTAGTTGTACTTTTAGAATCAAGGAACGTTTATCCGTGCTATGGTTCGCTATTTCCCTTTATCCCTGTGTTATCTTTCAAGTCAAAACGCATACGATTTTAACTTGAGATGTGTAAAATTACCATGCAACGAATATTGTAATACTTAATAATGATCAACGATAAATTTGTTTATAATTTGTTGCGTCGATAAGTCACTACGTGGTTGGAAAATAATGTTATTTCTCAGGCTTCGCGATAACGGCTTCGTGACGAAATATTAAGAGTATTTTTATGTCTTCTACTGTAAAAAATTATGACGGATTAACTGTTGATTTAGTCCCAACATTTAGTTCAAACATGAACAGTAATGTCAACAAAGTTTCTGCTTACGACTGTCGATTCTAAGAATTCTAATGAAACTTATATGAAATAATTTCTCAAGCTGGTTCATAACTGGCGACGAGACGTGGGTTTACGAATATAATACCAAAGCTAAACAACAATAGTCTCAATAGACGCGGCAAAACGAACCAAAGGCAATAAGATCGAAAATTAAGGTTCTCCTTGCGGTCTTTCATAAAGAACTTGTATCAAGTGGCCAGAAGTCAGTAAAGAATACCACTTGAATATTATGAAACGTCTGCGTGATGCAGTTCTCAAAAAACAGATCTATGAAAAGATGACACTTGGTTTCTACAGAGTGACGATCCATCAGTCCAAATCTCCATGCTTGTTCGCGACTTCTTGGCCAAGAATTCAACGAGTTTCCCTCTTGCGACTTTGTTCTGTTTCTAAAGCAACCTCTATTCTAGAAACAGAGTTCTCAGAATGTTTTAAAGCATAGAGAAAACGTTGATGCAAATGTATCGCGAGCAATGGTTACTTAGAGTTAGTTCAAGTTTTACGATAACTGATATAAGTTTATAGAATAAGTGAATGTTAGTAAATCGTGGTATACGCTGTATGAATTCTGCGTTAAGTTTCGAGATCATTTGAAAAGGACTGATTTTGGAATTTGAGTACTGTTCCTTAAGTCGCCTGTTCAATTAGACGGTTACCAACCGCGAAAATGATTGACGCGATCCGCAGCTCCGTTCAATGCCATTCGCGGAACACTGAAATCTGTTGGCAGTGGAAAAGAGAGGGAGTACGTCGTCGTCGGTGGCTATATAGCCAGCTACGGAACCGATCGTTTCAGTTCTGTACACTTCGGTGAGGATTTGTCCGCTTTTTTCGATGCTTCTCCGGGCCACGTCGGACTAGCCTGACCCGCGAACGAGTAACCAGAATTCACAGACGAGTTCTCGCGATGCTGACGACGAGCGCGAGGATCGTCCGTCTGCCTGATACGGATCTCTAAAAAAATCACTGTCCCGATATCGCGCTTTAGCTGTTATCATCGAAACGCGCGGATTAATCTGTCTGAAGGCTTTGTTTGCTGAAACGAAATCGGCACGATGCATTCGGTGATGCGTGATCTACGCGAGGACACTGCAATTTCAACGGAGAGAAAGTGATCGAGTCGCCTCAACGATCGGGCTGTTTTCGACGGAGGATATCGAAGAATCGTGGTTCCCGTAACGTCGATCGTCGAAAGGAAGATGCCTCCGCAAGAAAAATTCGAAACGACCGCGGGTCTGGATGACGCTGGCGCCAGCAACGCAACACCTTGCCAAAGCTCATTGAACCTGGAAACGAATTCGACTGCTCCTAACGCGAAAGCCAAAGACGAATCGAGGGACATGGATTTTGACGAGCTGCTGCCTTACGTCGGAGAGTTCGGCCTCTATCAGAAGATCCTCTTCCTTCTGATGATCCCTTTTGCATCGTTCGTCGCCTGGGTCTATTTCTCGCAGATATTCATCACTCTCGTGCCGAACGAACATTGGTGCTTGGTACCCGAACTCGAGAATCTCACCCTCCAAGAAAGGTGCGTGATTTACTTCGTTTCTTCTTAACACTTGATGACTGTCAAACCCCTGAGATTATCCACGAAACCGAAACATTGATTTTAGACACTAACATGTGCATTATTTTGGCAATAGACTTTCCGAGTTGCATTTTATTTACGTAAACGAGTCCTGGCATCGATCAAATTTTCTTCTCATTTATGAAAGAAGATTCTACGTTACGATTATTCTTTTTAATGAGAACACGTTGCGCTCATTAAGAACGTTTTCGAGACAATTCCTTGGAACGGTTCCATTGTGTGCAAGCTGTAATTACTTCGGAAGACGAGACCTAGTCGCCTCGATTCCACGAGTAGCGTGGAAAACGATCGTCCCGGCGCTTATTACGGTGTTTGCGTATCCCGTATGCAAAATAAAAGTTTTTAGAAGCCTAGACGCGCGTCTGACGGTTTTCCGCGCTGCAAGAAATTACTTGCAGAAACTATCGATGAGACACTCGATGAAAAATGCGATCGGATTGCGTGAGCTTTGGACGAGTTTCTGCCGCCGCATTAATTAATAACATAAAAAAATTGCGATCGTCGACGTTCCGTTTTACAATTCAAAGCGGTCAAGACACGACCAGATCGCGAATAATTTTTCTCGTGGTTGAGCAGTTATTTATCTAACGGAAATAGTGAAATTTTACTTTGAAAATCGAATTCCGCGTTAGTGTGATAATTATTTATCTCGTTTCTTTTAGATTCGTACCGTTATGCGCCGCCTAAATTGAAACTTGATAAGTGGTTTAAATTAGTACAGTAACGACGTTTATCGTACGTGTTTTCAAAGTTGTCACAATAGTATGTTATTTTACGAATTAATTCATTAATTCCTGGAACTATATGTTTTTTTTAAATTATGTCTTGTTACGTATTTGGGTGTTATGGTCTTAACGATTTATTGTATGATAAGTCGTACGTTAAAATACAACGATGATTGTGTAGCAGCGTTCTGCTTCCGCCCAACAATCTAACATGACAACTCGCGGAAATTCGTACATAAAACTATTGTTTTCGTCAGGAGCGCCACGTCGAGTTTTCGATGATAATGTATCTTCAAATATTGCACAACAATCCCGTACGTACTATAATTACAAAATTGCTAGGTACTCCAAAGTATAAAGAAGATGAAAGTCTAATTTTTTTTCGCGTAGTTCGGGCCATTTGATCGAGCCATTGCTCCACGATCTAAACGATTTCATCGTTGACGAAAGCGAGGTTTCTCTGAAACTCTACGCTCGGTGTGTCTCAATACGGCAGGATCGTTCTTGGATTTAAAACGGTGATTTACATTTAAGCGTGGAACACGCTTGGCGCAAAAGAGAATCGCTGAAAACTGAAATTGCAACGACGGCTATCGGGCGCCACGACCGTCTCCGGAAAGCGTGGAAATACGGTGACGAAACTGTTCGAGGGAACAAGTCGATTGCACCTTCGCGCCCAGTTACGGTGCTCTCGCATAAACTGCACACAGCGGGTTAACAACCTTGATGTTATTCAAATAATGTAATACTTCAGCCACTGGCCGGTAGCGGCTCGTAAAAGTCTCGATAAAACTCGCGCTTCTTAGTCTTGGTAAGCGCAACAGTTCTCCTGTTTTGTTTTCCGTCGTCTTGCGTAATACGCTCCGCAACAAAAATAAGGATTATTTGATGATCGGTTGATAAATAGCTTCACGATGATGTAAGCATAACGATTATGTAGCTTGACACATTGGCTGCCATGGTGGTCACTGGTCGTGTCTAATTTCTCTACACTTGTTAGAACGTCTTGAAAAAATGTCGCACTTCACGGAACTGTTGTTTTACTTTATACTGTTACTTGATTATCGTCCACTAGTTTAGCTATGTAAATAATCTGCTCTGTTTCCAAGTTTGCATAACTGTTCAGTCGGACCAAACTGAACAGTGTTTTTGGATCGCAATGAATTACGTTTCATTTGTATGTCGTGGGGTTGAAAAATTTGTTAGAGGGATTTAGACTCGGAATTACTGGAAGGGTTCTGTTCTTAGTCTACATTATTCCAGCAACTCGTCGAGGAAGTAGCCCTAAACTTCTAGGCAGAATACACACATCGAAAATAAATGTTTAAAATTCGTATCTGTAGATTACAGTCTCTAGACTCACGTACAGTGCTAAATAGTTTGCTGGTAGTCGTTAATTTTTCCGTAAACTCGACGATATTGTGCTTGGATCATTTTGCTTACTCGAAACTTCTGCTACAGTTTATCACATCACTGTTAATAGACGCGTTGTCACACAATGGCGTGTAAAGGATTTTACTAAAAATGCTAGGGATACGCGAAAGTTTTCATCACTTCCATAGGAGATATTTTTGTTAATTTGTTTCCACTACTTTTTATCGTCTGTTCCCATCGTTTCGCACACGCAGAAAGAAAAGAGTGCCGGGAAAACCAGAATGAACGTATAAATGTACAAAGTACGTGGAAAGAAACAGAGGATATCTTCGACGCTACAGGATGTTATGTTATGTTACAATAATGCAATTAAATGATCGCATGAACGCGTCCGCTCGATGTGTTCCGCGCAGCGTTCTTTGACGCGCGAGTATTGTCGTCCGAAGCACGACCATTCACTAGAAACTATGCAACACGAAGCCTTCGTACGAATTAATGGGAGCGTGAATGCGAGAAATAGCATTAAACGTGTAACACTCGGTCCAACGTCGTGTGCTAATTGAACAGGAGGGAACGACATACACAAATGTTAGATCGCGTTTATAGTGGCACCTTTCACAACTTAACGGCAGGCCTCGTTCGCGATACCGCGATACACACTATCTGTTATTTACAGATTCCAGATAGTGTAAGTGTACCTAATTTCGACACTGATCTAGTCATCGACCCATTTCTTCCATAGATCAGATCATTACGAGTTTCGTAAGAGCATTATATACTTACTGTGCAACAACTATACGCGTAATAGGAAAAAAAAAGGAAGTTTGTAAAAGTAATCATTTATGCACGTCGATAAGAGCCGTACGAAACTTCAGAATACGATGATGTATTGAAAATGCATAGTTATAATTACAAATTGCAAAACAAGTCATTCGATCGTTTATGGCAGAAATGGTGGAAGTGACATCGGATGACTATCGTCTAGAATTAATAGTTACGTGAAAGAATTATTTTTACAGCATTCCTTTCATCGTTTTTCATAGCAGTTTTCCGTGACACGCGGGGTTCATAACGGTGAATCCGGAATGAAAAATGCACCGTACGTGCGCATAATGCAATCGGCGTCAAGTAACATGTCGTCGTTCGTTTGCTTCGCACGCAAAGGTCAGACGACGAGCGTGATTAAGCGCGAAAGTACAAGACACGTACGACTGTAATGAGAATTTTTCTTAGCTATGAAAATTCGATGCTTCGCTCTGTACGATAGATAATCGATGTTTTAAAAAGATCAAGGCCACGTTGCAGCAACAATGTGCCAAAGAGGTCTGCTCTAAAAAACAAGTTTAATCGATTCTTTATATTCTTGAGGATGCATTTGTACTCTGATGTCTAATAGTTCTCTGAGGAGGGGTCTGAAATATCATTAACTTTTTAAGACTTTAATTTAGTCAGAAACTGTTCCACAATGTCACGCAAGTGGTTAAGGTCGGTTTGGTTCAGACAGCGTCGATCATTCTGACATGAACTTCCTATTCTACTGAAACGACAAACACCAGAAGCGGATGTGAATCATCATTAGTAAATTACCTTAATTACACTTATCATTAGTAAAGTCGATTTCAACGCTTGGTCATCATTACGAACCAATCTTTCCTTGGTATAATTATGTTAAAAGTTTGTTAGGTAATGTATCCAATTTATCGAATATTTTCAAAATAATTAACGAAGCAATATAGAGGTATCATTTTACAACGAACGGATTGATAAAAGGTTTAATATGGATATTAATTTCTGTACAAATCAGTGTCAAATATAGAACGCAGGATGAAATACCTCAGGTGGTACGATTTTTGCAATTCTGTCGTATTATTGAGTTACTAAATGCGGCGTATCGATTCTCTATTTAGTCGGGAATGCTATCAGAGCGTACAAGGAATAATAATCACGATGAATCGAGAACCAAACGGGAACAAATTTACCGACTGCCTTACAGCTCGTTAGTTCATGGGACTCTTGTTAATTATCCACCTGTTGAAACGTCCAAGTCCCTGAACTACCCGGTGATCCCTTTTCTTTTCTTTCAGACTCTTACTGGCGATACCGATCGACCATGAAGGTTACTCGAGATGCAGCATGTACGATGTAAATTACACCGAGATTCTATTAAGTGGAAGACACGAACCGGACCCATCGTGGCCAAGAAGTGGCTGCCAACACGGTTGGGAATTTAATTACACCAGCATCCCTTACGCAACCGTAGCGACCGAGGTGGGACTTTCTTCGATCATTTTCTTTCCCGACCACTTGCGCTTTTTTAATGGTCTTCAACCGTCTGTTGCGATCATTTGTTGTAGTTAGGATGGGTGTGCGATTACAGTGCCCTGCCAACCACGGCGCAGAGCATCTTCTTCGTCGGTGCCATCTTCGGAGGGTTAATTTTCGGTTGGATAGCTGATCAATATGGCAGGATACCGGCTCTGATCGGGGCGAATCTGATGGGTTTCGTGGCGGGAGTCGCCACCGCGTTTTCTCAAAGCTTCTGGCAGTTCACGCTGTGCCGCTTCTTCGTCGGTTTCGCTTTCGACAATTGCTTCACCATGATGTACATATTAGGTAACCATCCTTTTCTTTTCACTTATTGTTGCACTCGTTCGTAAATCCAGTACAGGTTTAAAGATAACTTCGCAGAGATAGAGCTTCGAGACGTCTACATAGTACTTTTCTTGCGTCCCACGCAACTGAGAAAAATTATATCTCTAAAACGGTCAGGGATGCGAACAAGCGTAATGTATCTGAAAACTGCAACTGCTCCTTTGTTTCTTAAAATGTAACTTTATATTTTTATAATACGTGGAATGTTTGCGATACGTTGCGGGATAATTATGCGCGGGATTACTTTCGATGCGCGATACGCGATACACGTACGGCGGCTACGGACTCAATGATGTAATTCATTACACGTTCGAACGGAGTTAATAATCGCTATCGCGTTTCCTACCGGTGATTTACTTTCATCAAGCTCGAGATTAACATACGTCGACGACCGTATCGATCAATCTTCTTTCGCGTTCGTTCGGCAGAGACGATCGGGAGCTCGCATGCGATAAATTGCGATCGCTGAAAACGGATGCTTTGGCAATTAGGAAATCCGAGTACCAGGACGATTAATGTCTCGGCTCTCGTCAACTTGGCCTAGTTTTCGATAGAAACCAGACGAAATCCCGCCGGTTGTCGTAAATCTTTCTAGGCTCTGCTTGAGTCATTCGGTCATGGTTAATGCACGCGCAAGAGTTTCGTTTCGATTTTCATAACTGAAATATTATGTTCTTCGATCGCAAAAATATCTTTTAACACTTTTTTCTGCCACGGTGGTGAACTGAAAATTTCGTAAAATTCATAGTTTAGGAATTGTCGCTATTCGATGGAACTTTCGACCTTGACAACATTCGATAATTTCATTATCCGCAAATCGTCAGCTAGTCATTAACAATCCTTTCTTCGATGAGTAAGTCATCGGTTCTCCGAACAATAAATCTCGTACTTTCAATAGGCTACGTACGTGAGTTTGCATCCGAGTGCAGTGATTAGAGAAGCGAATGGAAATTCGAGCAAAAATACGCGATAGGTTCGATTAAATTCAAATAACACGTGGCACGTGTTGATCTTCGACTTAGTAATCGGGGAATTAAAACCAACTTTGTCTGATCGACGGTGACGTCTAACTGAATATTTTCTGCAACCGACGAAGGAAATACCTTCGAGAAAAGCGAATATTCGATCAGAAGGCATAACTTTGTCATGATTGTGGCGATAAACCTTGATACGTAGGATATAATTAAGCAAACTCACAGGAGGTTTTCTATTTTCGTTCGGGATTGCTGGTTTCCTTCTGGTTCTTTGTCTCTTTAATTCGTGATCTTTCCTTGTATAGTATTTTTGCTAGTTCAAGACAATTATTAATTTATTTAACAACCATTTGGACGATCGTCTTAGCATCTAATAATCGACAGTCGAAGGTAATAGACTCCTTTCGATTCGTCCTCGAGTTTCCTTATTGCACGCGTTACCTTCGTCGGAAAGTATTTATCGATCTCTGATATTCTCTCAGGAAGACAAGACACTTCGAGATCAGGATAATCGACGGGTCGCCTTGGACAATGAAATTTACGTTTGCGTGACTTTCACGTGTCACGCGTAGCACGTGTTGGCGAATTAATCGAGCGCCTCGTGACCAAGGATTAATAAGTTAGGAACGTGGAATTAATTCTTCGATTGTGCAATGGCGCTGGGAATAAAAAACACCGAACGACGACTATTTATGTGCTTCGCGAAATTAGGAATAATTGTTCTTAACGAAGCGATAGTGTTACGCACTTAATGGGAGTCTTTAATTCAGAATCTTCTTTAATACGGCGCAACTACGATGCTCGTAGCGATTCGTTGTTCCTTTTTTAAATTCCGAAATTAAGTTATCAATTTGATAGTTATTTGGAATTGTAGAAATTAAATTCGTTACAGTTAATAAATCTTTTCTTTGCATCTTTAGTGTTGGAGTACGTTGGACCAAAATGGCGGACGTTCGTAGCGAACATGTCGATAGCCATATTCTTCACTTTCGCTGCCTGCGTTTTACCCTGGATCGCATATTTTTTGGCGGACTGGAGGATGACCTGCATCGCGACGTCGGTTCCTCTTGTCTTGGCAGTGGCGACGCCTTGGTTGGTACCGGAAAGTGCTCGGTGGCTTGTGAGTCAAGGCCAAATAGATAGAGCCATCGGGATCCTGAACAAATTCGAGCAAGTAAACGGTACAAAAGTGCCCGACGATGTCTACAAACGATTTAGGGTAAACAGCGTGAAATATAATAATTTAGTATAAATATGTTCGATCGTATGACACAAACGGTGACGGACGCGTTAATTGTTATTTTTCGAAATGATAGGAGACCTGTGCCAAAGTCTGTAAAGAAGAGGAAGCGGACAGAATGTACTCCGTGCTGGATTTATTTAGAACACCACGGCTTCGGAATATCACGATCTTATTTATTGTAATATGGTAGGTTCCGCTATACAACCAGCCATCGAGTATATGATGATTATAAACGCCTCAAAGTGTTACTTAAGAATTTTTTTAAAGAACAGAGGTTTTTTTTGTTTCTTACGTTTACATCGTAGGATGGCGATCTCTTTGGTGTTCGATGGTCATGTACGGAACGTCGATAACTTAGGCTTAAACGTTTTCGTGACATTCACGATCGCGGCGGCGACTGAATTGCCCGCTGACACATTTCTCACAGCTGTTCTCGACAGATGGGGCAGAAGATGGCTGGCCTGCGGTTCTCTGGTCGTTTCCGGAATTTTCAGTATTTGGGCTTCCGCGGTTTCCAACAGTTCGTATCTCTATCTCGTTACACGCTTGTCACACGATAATTCTAGACTCTAAATCTTCCATTGATGAATGACAAGTTGTACAATTCCGTGTATTGTTATTTACAACATGGTGCTCGTGTTTTTAATTCTAAGTCATACAAGTTTTTCTTTTAAAGAAGATTCTTATTTTCCTTCTCAGATATCTACTCGGCCACTTTGGCCATTCTGGGTAGATTTTGGATAAACATATCGTACAACATCGGCCTCCAGTACGCGGCTGAAGTATTGCCGACCGTCGTCAGGGCTCAGGGTGTGGCCTTGATACACATAATGGGATACGTCGCGAGCATTTTGGCACCCTTCGTGGTTTATCTCAACGTGGTCTCGACGATTCTGCCCCTTCTGGTGTTGGGCGTCCTCGGGATCGCTGGCGGTCTTCTCACTCTGTTTTTACCGGAAACGCTGGACAAGGATCTTCCGCAAACGTTACAGGACGGCGAGGACTTTGGTAAAGACCAGAAAATGTGGGACTTCCCTTGTATCAGTAGGTGAGTTTCAAGCCGATAATGCGTCACCAGCGTCTTTTTGAAAATTTTTAATCAATCACGGCGACAAAGTTTTTGTGCACATGGTGGATGACCCCTTTGTACTCGGTTATCCTCTATGAACGAACATCATAAATCTAGCAAACAACTAATCTTTTGATCAGAGAAAAGTCTCAGAGTACAAAGTATTAATAATCCCAATCGATCTTCTTAATCTTTTGTAGGAACCGCGAGGACGATGAAACGCCTTCGGCTACGTTCAAAACGTTCTCTCGAGGTAGCGTCAGGAACTCGATGAGGGCCTCTCTTCGTGGTGAAACGTTGAGAAGCAGCATGATACGGAGAACGAGCGTGAGGTCGAGAAAGAGCAGCAACTCTATCACGGAAGTGGAAAGATTGTAGCGAAAACTGTGTCCATTTCCCACAGAATTGTCAATCCTCCAACGATAAGCATTTGACGAAGAAACGCGTGCTTCTATTCGCATTGATGAATGATGGTATGGTTGCAATATGTACATTAAATGAAAGTCCTTCTTATCATACAAAATTTGAAGAAAATATCGTGAAAATGTGATTAGAATTCGAAGAAATCCTTTTCTTCTTTTCTTTGTGAATCTTATGTTGTGCCACGATACGAATACACGCGATACGGACTCCGGGTCTATTTTGATTCGCATCCGAATTTCGTTAATTAGTATTCCTCTATAAAATAACCAGTTTCTATGGGTCAAAATGTACCCGGAGACCGTTGTGCGAGGGTCAAGCTCAATTTGCTCCAAATGTCTAGCGGATTTGCCTTTCCGAGTAGGAAACGAAAGATAAAACTGTGAATTCTTAACTCGTTTCTAGCAGATGCTGAGCGGCTCGAAGTTGAAATAACTTAACCAACACGAGCGTAAGTTGTGTAAATACGTGTAAAAATTTCTAGGTGAATATATTAGAAGTCGTTCGTACATGCGCGCGAACGATGGAACTTATTTTTATTTTTGCTGTAACCAAAATCGTCAGTGTTTTTTAATAAAAGCGACGTAGATCATCGGATCGGTTAAAAAATTTTCCAAACATCCATTTCCTACCAAACCGTGCCGATACTATGAATAAAGATTAGGATTATCTTTAATCCTGATGACGTATTACACGATATTTACATCTTCTTATCGTACATATCAGTTTCTATATGCGGGTCGTTGACAGAGATATTTAAAGTGAAAATATTTAACTTCGATGAATTCGTTTTTCCTATTCCAGATTGCTTTGAATATTCTCGATGGTTTGCAATTGTTTGTATAAAATATTTATTTAATTTACTAATCTGTTATCGGTAAAATTTAAGCGTGTTAACGATGAGGTTTACTAAATGCGAGTTCATGACATTATTGGTGTTATCGTTCGCCAATTAATATCAACACAATGTAATCAAAATACGCGAACTAGTATATGCTCCCAATGCGATGCGTTATTCTTTGGATATTGTGGGAAGATTGATTTACATATTCGAGACAAATAACGTTGTTAGAGTTAGGGGGAAGTACGTAGTCCGTTCGTACGATAGTTCCCAGGATTAATCCCGTTTCTTGACAGTGGTATGTATGCAAATGGGATGTCTGTAATATTCAGATTCAGATTGTCGTGTTTCTTGTTTTAGTACCATGAAGCGTCTTACATATTCCGAATCGAATATCTTGACTCTTATTTGTTGCTTGAATGGCCCAGAAACTATTTTTCTATTTTCAAAGTTAAACGTTATTCAGATAGCATTGTAGCAGGGAGGGTGAACTCCATGTAGCTCATTTAATGGACGTCGGGCGAAGGATATTCTATGTAGAACGTTGCGAAAAAAGTTGCAGTGTCCTGTGAAACGGAATGGCTCCATTATGTAGAATTCGTTTGTTAAACGTGTAAACTAAGAGGGATACAATAGTGCACACTAGTGATTGTCGTTAGAGATAGCTACAATAACAATAGTTGTTAGATTTTCTAGATCTTCCCTGCGAAACGATAAGATCCGTGACATGCTTTCGTCGATCTAAATTTTTTTCTCGTTAACATCTCGGTTCTCGTGAAATAACGAACAAACAGGGGTGTGTTCAGGCAATATCTCCAGAAATAGATTGTACAAAACTCGTTTACCTTACCCGAAATTTGTCCTTACGGATAAGTTTTCAGTGTAACGTACACTCTGGCGGAAGTTGCGTCGGAGGTGATTGATTGTGTCTAGTTGCAAAATTATTTATAGACACGGAACATTGTAATCTTATATTCTCTCGCGTCAATGTCACACGCACGCAATATATGTATTTGAAGCTGTGCCAGACCAACTCGTTGAAATAATACTAGACTCGATAACGGATACGTAATTATACTCTTTGCCACTATCGCTGTCGATGATCGTTAAACTTTTACTGCATCCAAAGTGCATCGTCGTAATTTGTAAACCGAATAAGCTCCGAAAATAACTGAAATGCTTTATAGAACAACGATTTTGTTGGTAGAAAAGGGTTGGTTGCATTGGTATTGTCACGTGGCATCGAACGATCGCGATTCGAGAAGCGTGCGAAATTACTTGTCAGTCTGCTTGCCAGTCAGAGGGCTCGTCTTCTCTTTCTGTTTCTGTTTGATCGTCTCTTTCTTTGTTGGCTCTGTATTGGCAAACACGTGTCGCGTTCGTCTCCGTTAAGCAAGCTTCTATATCAGTGATACTCGAGCCGGTTTCCCCTTCATATTCGTGCAAGGCCTCATAACAGTCGGACGTGCTTCGATCCTCTTCTCTTTCGTTCGCGTTAATTGCCCGTCTAATTAGTTCGTTGTTCGTTTCCGGCGTGCAGAATCTTGCGGTTGTCGCGAGCCGCTGGCGATGGAGACGCTCACGCTTCAGTGACAAGAGAATCTTCGAGCATGATAAGGGACACACAGAGAAAATCGACGTGAATACGGTGTACGTTAATTGCTGGAGAGTTTCACCGACGAGCAATTAGTTGATGCTAATTAACGACAATCTGGCTCGTCAACCTAGAGTTGGGCTCATCTTTCGACGCGATCGGCGTTACATCAATCTACGGAAAAAGGTGATTCGATTGTGCTCGTCAAGGTTTTTCATCGCTCGTTACGTAAATAATAATTATAATTTCTATTCTATAGTTACACGAGGGTTGATTCCTCTTACATTTAGAAGGGAACTTAAAGATGGATTCGAATTTGATTTCTCCTAATCCGTATCGATCGCGATAGAGTTATCGATAACTCTATCGCGATCGATAACTCTAATACAGTGGGAAGTTGTGCTGCAATTTTCACTTTCTGTTATTTCTCTTAAGCATACAATATCCTCTCGTTCGACATAGCTACGCAGAGACTTTGCATTCTCTCGTCCGGCGGACCAGCGTCTCGTTTACAATTGAATTTTAACGAGTCGCGTGTCACGATTCACTTGATCCCGGTACAATAATTGGTTGGCATTAGAACGCACGCTTGCACTTAATTTATCACTCGAGGGGTCCAAAAGGAAGCAAGGAAAGGAGTTGCTTGAACTTTGTTCCATGGTCCCGTCGATCGTAATTGTTTGTGCTGATATTGACGATCGGGAGCAGACAAGGTTCATTTATATCCATGCCACGAGCAAAGTTGAGTGTTTATATTTTGGCTCCGCCTATTTTGCATAAGTGAACAAAAGAACAACGGTAACACTTTGTGTAACTTTGACATTCCAATCGTTGGAAATTCGTTGTCAAGGAATCGAACACTGATCGCAAGAAAAGATATTAATGAAGATATGCGTTTTGCTGTTCCAGAGAAATAAAGAACAATGAAATGAAGAACTTAAACGATTCGATAAGTCCAACCGAAAGGACAGTTTTGAGGCCAAAATTAGAAACGTTTGACGACATTCTACCATACGTTGGCGATTATGGCAGATATCAATGGCTGCTTTTATTGGCGTTGTTGCCTTTCGGTTTAACATACGCATTCCTCTATTTCTCGCAATTTTTCATAACCATTACACCCGCGGAGCACTGGTGTAGGATAGACGAATTGATGAACTCCAACTTTACCCAAGCAGACAGGTACGTTTCTTCGGGAACTAAAAATTTAAGTAGCTTCTGAGAACTGTCATACAATATACAGATTGGATTTGTATTCTTAACTACAAACGACACTTGTTACGATTTAACTCCTTGTTGTGCGATTTAATTATAGACAAATTGTTATACTTTAATTCAATCTGATTCCTCTTTATTAATCTATAAATTCTTTTCTCATTTTTCTATTTTTCTATTCTATTTGATCATTTTTGTTAGTATATTTGTTCTGTGATATCGAAGTCTTCGTTACATCGATTATATTCTGTTAACGATTTTATCTCATACGGCGCATTTAGGATAAAAATAGCAATTCCACCCTCGGACGAATATCCCTATTACGACCAGTGTCGACGCAAAGACGTAAATTTCACCGAATTGTTGAAGGCTGGCGCGGATCTACGTTCTTTAGAGTTGAAAAGGAACAGAACCGTCGGATGTACCAGCTGGGAATATAATTTCACCGAAATCCCGTACTCCAGCGTGGGCACCGAGGTGAAGTATCTTTCGAGTATTACACACACATCGTGTCCCGGAATTTTTCAGTCAAATTTCCTCGTGAAACGATTAATTATAAAATAATGTCGACGAAATCTTTACGCACGAGGCTTCGTCCTTAAGAGAATCGAGCTTGAATGTTTGTACAGACTCGTTCTTTTCATCGACTGATCCTTAACCCTTCGTGATTAGCTTGATTGGGTATGCGATCAAGAACACTTCGTGTCGACGGCACAGTCTATCTTCTTCTGCGGTTCAATTCTTGGCGGTTTTCTTATCGGATGGATAGCGGATCACAAAGGACGTATTCCTGCTCTAATAGTTTGCAACAGTGTTGCCCTTGTTGGTTCTATCGCCACCGCCAATGCAAATAGCTTCTGGTCGTTCGCTGTATGCAGGTTTCTTACTGGATTGGCATTCGACAACTGCATCGATATTCCGTTAATAATCGGTGAGTTTCAAAGGAATCCTCTGAAAAAACCAAGCATTCGGTCGATAGATTATGTTGGTAAACGTAACACGCGTTGCTTAACAAATAGTAAACGAGTTAATACAAAATTAATGTAGAATAAAATTCCGATTAAAATTACGAAATCTGAAATACAACTGTTCTATAATATTTGATATCGTCCAGTGTTAATTATGTTTCAGTGCTCGAGTACATGTCCGTCTCGAAACGTACCGTGGTTGTCAACGTAGCCTTCGGCATATATTTCGCCGTCGCCAGCACTATTCTACCATGGATGGCTTATTACATTTCTAACTGGAGATTATTCACTTATGTCAACGCTCTGCCCTTCTTGTCCGTCTTCATCACGCCATGGATCCTTCCCGAGAGTGCCAGGTAAGGATCTATTCTATTCAAATCACTCGAATTCTTGCCCTTCTAAGGGGTATTCTAGTGTGACGTACGGTATTCGCTAACATTCTTTAAGATTTGTTTATACAAAAAATATAAAATATTTCATCGATTCTTTTAGGAGTTCACACTAGAATATCCCCTTAAAGCGTTGCGTCATTTTAAACCTGCGTCGAACATACAATTTCGGTCATCAACTTGGTCACGACAATTTTGTTTCGTAAGATGGTATATTTCTAATGGGAAGATAGACAAGGTTGTCGAGAAATTGCGAAGAATAGCCAAAATCAATAAAAGGAATCCAGATCCACGTGTTTATGACATCTTCCTCGTAAGTAGTCCAAATATCGTTTCTTGGGTCTTTTTGGAATTTATTCTGTTGCTCGCGCCGTGTTTTAGGGGAATCTGGAAGCCTCGGCCAAACAACGGGAAACTGCCACGGTGTTGGATCTATTCAAAACGCCGCGGCTGGCACGGAACACCATCCTTCTAATCTTGTTCTGGAAAGTATAATCGAGTCCAAGAAATGTTCGACGAATGACCAGTGTCATCTTGCAGGTGCTTCATCGTGATATCGTTCGACAGTCACGTTTATTCGCTGAAGCTTATCCAGAGTTCGGTGTTCGTGTCGTTCTCCCTGTCCTGCTTTACGGAACTGCCGGCTGGCTTATTGTTAACTTTGCTGTTGGACCGATGGGGCCGTAGGCTCTGTGGATTTCTCACCCTAGCTATCACCTGTGTTCTCAGCATCGCCGAACTCATGTTCCATTCCAGTAAATACGTTCGCTTACGCTGTTAATCGTTAGGAACGGCAAAACGGTCAACGGTCAACGGTCATTTTGAATTTCAGTACCCGTCAAGCTAACGATGTCGGTGATGTCACGATTCTGTCTCAACATGGCGGCCAATATCGGTCTCCAATACGCGGCGGAACTCTTGCCGACCCCAGTCAGATCTCAAGGCGTATCGCTTATTCATATTTTCGGTATCATAGCGCACACATTGGCACCCTATATAATAGTCTTGGTAAGTGAATATCTTCTAAACCATGCAACCATTGAGGTACAAATTCACAAGATTTTCAAGATGCTTAAGACTTTCGAGAGTTTCTTAACATTGAATCGTATTCGAATCGCTTTGAATTTGTATTAGAAGCACGCAACAAGATTCAGAGTCCCACTAATTTGCTGTTGGCCAGTGTGATCTAACCAAGATCTCTAAATAACGCTTTGTTCGGCAGGCCACAGTGTGGGAGGGATTCCCGATGTTGATCATCGGTATCGTGTCGTTCGCTGGAGCCGCACTGGTCACTTTCTTACCGGAAACTCTCGGTCAGTGTCTTCCTCACACCATCAGCCAGGGTGAAGAGTTTGGGAGGGATCAAAATTTCTGGTCATTGCCTTGCTACAAAAGTCGAAATTTGACCGGCATTGCCAATCTTATGAACGATAATCGTCCGTGTACTCGCGTTTTAATGAAGAATGCAAATAAGGAAGACGGTGACCAACAGTAAAACTGTGCCGAATCATCCAGACGGTTTTAGAACTCGATCGATCGCGGCACTCTAATAATTTGAGATCGAGTACCAAACGACGCCTATATTCCTACGTAATTTTTATTTTCTTATGCTTTAAGAACCAATCGTTTTAACGCTGTTTCTATTTTGCGACACGCGCAGTAGAAACGGTTGGTGGTTGTGTTCCTATAGAGATTTTATTTTTATCCTTTAGTTTAAGGACTTTTTTTTACTTTAGCGCAGAATTTTGCGACACACGTATTTGAAATGCCCGGTAATAAAGATTAGAGCAAATTATTTTGTAGGTTTGATTTTAGTTGTCGAAAGAAAACTATATAGTGTCGGTATTTTATTTTACGTGGTGGAAAATTGATGTTTTTAGTTAGCGAAACGTTTCACTCGTCGTTAGAAGTTTTAGATGGCGACTATTTGATCGTAAAAAGACGGTGTTCGTAACGATAGAAATAAACATCGAGTGTTCACTGTTTCTGCTGCGTCAGTTACAACAATTATGGGGAAACTTAACAAGAATTCGACTTGGCGCGTTTATGAAAAATAAAAAAGTACTTGTTTTTCACATCGCGCCGATTGCTGGGCAATCTATCCACAGCCATTTTGTGCGCATATTTATAGGGGGAAAAAAGGAAACGATCGTTTCCTTTCGCGTAATCGAGTAACAACCTAATATTGCAAGACTGTGTAATATTATATCGTGCCATCATAATGATCGGTGTTCATCATTGAATCAATAACAACTCTATTAACCGAAGAATACACGGTTTCCGTTTATTGGCAATTATCTTCTCCTTCGCCGTCATTTCACAACCTTTCGTGCGAAAGCTCATGATGGAAATAAAGAAACGTGCAAACTTCGATGTAGAAATACTTCTGGTTTTTATTTTCAAGTATCAATGTTCACTGAACGATCGATCTAAACCGCTAAACGCATCTAAACTTAAATATACATGTTGGTACTCGTCGACGATTGTACATTTCCTAGCGCGCCTCTAGTTCGGCTCCATTTTGCAATTGAGAGCTTTAGAATTACAATTACATAAATTACGAGGCGTTGAACGAGACACTTTCACTCAGAAATACACTCCGGAGCTATAGTTGACATTTTAAAGATTTCTGGACGAAGCATATTGGAAACGTAATTCTGATTTGGCGATAATTGGTGTAACGTTTGAATATTCATATTAATATTACATATATTGAGTTAATTGAAAGTAATCTGATTTATGCCGTGTTTAAGCTCGTTTCAATCGGTCGAATTCCAACAATGCTTTGAAACTGTCGAAAATTACAGTGGCGTTATAGTTATATTCCGCAGTGTATTTGAGAGACGTTTAAACGGTTCAAACAGTTATGTACAGTTTTCAAATCTATCGTAAGGCGTACTTGCGAATATCCCCGGCTCGAAGTAACAGAGAATCAGATCGACGAACGAAAGATCTTAGTTTCGCAGTGGTACGACTTTCAATCGGGGGGGCTGAAAGCGGGAACAAGTCTCGTAAGTACGCGGATGACTCTAATACGATCCTAAGCGGTCCTAGTACTGTCGCTGGACCGTGACGCGACACAAATTGAGCATTCAGGATGAACAGAATCGAAGGAACGATAGTAGCTGAAAACGAAAAATAAATCGTGCCTCTTCGCATACGCGAATCGAAGGGTTTGCTGGCTTTCCTCGATACGCTAACGGTTCGCATAATTTATGAATCACTATGTCTACGCGAAGTAGCGTTTTGGAAATCCGCAATGAACGAGACAAGTTGACGGGACGGTGATGGGAGGAAGTGGTCTACTTACGTACTGGTTCGATTAATTGCGGACTACTTAAAGACGAACGCTACAGCTTGAGTTTCGTAACGATTCTTGGCGACACGCGATAACAGTATCTTCATAAATAAGTCAACTTTCGATTAACGAATAATAGAATTCTGACGTTTGGATGTTTCCCGCCGAGGAAAATCACGGCGTTCGACGGCCGTTGTTTCCTTTCGGTCCAACGAACGAATATAAAAATACTGTAACATGTTTCACGAGTAAGGAAGACAGGAATTTATACCGTATTCGATATCTCTTCGATCGGCACGTACTTCCAACGAAATTCCATCGCTGGGTAAAATTTTTTTAAAATACAACGTTCGCGATATACCTTAACACCTAACATCACACTCGCAGTTTAATGACTATATTTACAAAAAGATTTGGCAAGTTTTACCGGCCGGTACTCGTCACTATTGAACAATCGCTATAATCTAGTGCAGTCGATCTTTTGAACACTGCCCACGAACGCAGGGTTCGACAGGCCCTTCTTTTTCCTGAGCGATTTCTTCGTCATCTGGCTCCTGAAAGTTTCACCAAATATTTACCAAATTGTTTCGTGGATAGCGTTAACAGTTTAACGTCGTGAAATGACAATCGATGGGTTTATAATTTATCTGAAAGTGGAAGAACAAACAAAGTGTTACTTACGAGGCCACGCAGGGTATCCACCAAAAGCTTTGGTCCTTGCCAAAATCGTTGCCCTCCTGAAGAGTCTCTGGCAAGTCTTGGTTTAAAGTTTCTGGCAAACCAAGGGTCAAGAAGGCGTGCACGAAGGACAGTAAACCGAGGGCGACGAGGGGCAGAGACGCGTCGATATCGGCCTAAACAGGAAACAAAATGAAGTTTTTTTCTATCTGAATGGTTGACGAGAGTATTCTGGTCAAAGAAGTTTAAAGAAATCGATTTTTGGCATAAAAGAATAACGAATATGTGTTCTAAAAATGATGTAAGCAAGTCTTATGGTTCTTTGATTAAAAATTGACCTAGACCAGAACACTTCCTCGATTTATACTGGAAAACAAACTAATTATCCGATTCTCCGATAGCTATCAGAGTTTCCGTTTGTCTTACTTACCAGATAAATGATGTAGGGGCCCATGATGTGAGCGAGATAACCAATAATGTGGATCAAGGACACACCTTGGGCTCGCACCACGGTCGGTAGCATTTCCGCCGCGTATTGGAAGCCGATATTCGCGGCGATATTGACTCCGAGACGCGCAATGATCGCCATGGCGACCGTTGGCGCACCTTGAACAAGTTGAGAAATATGTAAATGCCGCGTGTTGCGTTGCATTCCGTGCTTGATGCACGCCGGCTGTTCTCGGTACAGCCTCGGTGCAATTGGTCTTGCACGTCGGTATTTAACCCTGTCCTGTCGAGGCGTCATATTTGGACTTTCGAACGAATTTTCCATTACGAATACGAAATAATAAAATTTAGATTCGGATCAAAGTGAACCCCGGAGTCTTCGGACTTTGACGTTGTTTTTTATATTTTGTCGAATAAATTGTGGACAGAGCCATTCATCATCGAGAAAGAACTTACCAGGTGGCGTGGCCACAGCGATAAACGAAAAGATTCCACAAAGGAACATCGACGCGAAACCCATCCATCGTCTGCCCCATCTGTCCAGAAAGAGGGCCAGGAGAACGGCGGCGGGAAGTTCGGTGAGAGAGGCCAAAGAAAAGGATGTGAATACGTCGGGGTCCAGAAGTTTCATGTTCCAGACGTGGCCGTCAAACACCCACACCATCAGAAGCCTGGAAACCAGCCAAACGAATTGCTCGATCAATCGCCAACTTTCAAACTCTTTCCATTTTCCTATTTTCAAGGTTCGTAACCTGTTACTCGCAAAAGTCGACGAGTAAGGATTGCTGGATCTGGAGGGCAACAGACTCTGACTGTCTATAAGATCAATTTTAAAAGAACAGCTACTGGTTATAGAAACGAATTTAAAATTTGGAAATTCAAGAGACGAACCGACTCACCAGTATATAATAAGCATGATCGTGATGCGAGCGAGTCGTGGAAACTTGAAGAGATCCAGAACGGTGTACTGATTGTGCGATTGATCTTTCTCGATCATCGATTTGCAACTTTTCTCGAACTCGTCGAACACTTCCTTCTTCACATCTTTACCATTTACTTTCGCGAACTTCTTCAACATGTCGATCGCCTTGTCGATCTTGCCGCTGGTGATGTACCAACTGGAAAGTAGAAAGCGAATATATCAAAATTCGGATTGAATTAACAGCATTGATCAGCTTACCGTGCGCTTTCAGGAACGATCCACGGTCCGACGAAAGCGACCACCATTGGACAAGCGGTGACTATGCTCAAGATCCGCCAATTGGCGATCCAATAAGCGATCCACGGCAGAAGACTAGCAGCTCCCGCGAAATAAAGTCCGAAGGACATGTTTGCTACCAGCGTACGGTATTTCGGTCCTACGTACTCGATCACTGAAACGATATTTGCGATTAGAACGTTCATAAATATTAAATTTATTTATTACGTCGTCTCTGTGGTAACGTGGCAAATTAACTTAACCTTCCCGGCTGCAATTTAAACTATCAATTACCCATGCGATTACAGAAAACAGCGGAAAGCCGTGTATTTTCTAAATCGCTAATTGTCGGTAGTTAGAGCATAACAATTTCGAGATAGCTCGGGTAATTTATACGGAACTTACCGATAATGAAAAGAACGTTAAAGCAGTTATCGAATGACGTGCCAACAACCATTCTCGCCAGACAGAAACTCCAGAAACTGTTGCAGAACGCCGTTGCCACGGAAGCCACGAATCCCACCGAGTTGCAGGCGACCAATGCTGGAATCCTGCCATAATGGTCAGCTATGTAACCGAATATCAAACCGCCGAGGATGCTACCCACGAAGAAGGCCGATTGGGCTGCTGAACCTAGGAAAGCTCGATCGCAAACCCATTCCAGCTGGAAGAACAATCGACCGCGTTATCGGTTTCCGGGCAAATCGTACACAGTAGGCAAAAAAATAGGCACTCTCGTTTGCAAAGTACAGCGAGTTCATTTGTTATATTTAAAAATAATTCGTCAAGATATTTATAAAAAAAAGCGTGTGTGTCAATATTTTGTTCACCCACTGTGTCTACGACCAGCTTACTTCCGCTAATTCGATACGAAACACGAGATAGCGAGCTGTAAAACGTGAACCGATACTTAATCTTAAATTTAAAGACCGTCGTGGCAAACCTATTCGTACGTGAAAACTCACAACTTCGCAGGAAACTTCAGACGCGAAAAGGAAAACATAGAAGTCGTGGAGTAAATAAAGAATAGAAAATTAAATCGTACGAAATATTGAAAAGGATACCGACAGAATTGAGAAGTGAATTTTGCAAGATTCTGTGTTGCTCAGCACAAAATCGGGAGAATTTTGAAAAATTTTTACCAATACTTGCGCGATAAATGCATTACGTTCGCTCACCTCGACCGCTATGGATTTGTACGGTATCATTGTGTGATTGAAACTCCAACCATGTTGACACGTTTTAATGGGCCACGAGTGATCGGCTATTCTAGTACCGTTCTTCAATATTTCTCTGTAGTTTACGTCGTACATGTTGCATCGCGAAAACGCGGTGGCACCTTCGACCTTTAACTCTTCTCTCGATGCTGGAGGTATCGATAACGTGATCCTAGAAAAAGAAAAAACAGAATTTTACGGTTCTTTTAAAAAGTAAATGGAATCGTGCAAGGAGAGTCTCAGACGAACAAACAAACTACAGTTAGGATCTACCGTAAGTTTTCAATCGAATTGGTTTCCGCCAAAGCGTCGAATACTGGAGAACTACGGATCGCATTGTTCTAAGTCGTGATTCAGAGGAAAACACGAGACGATTTTCCCGGTTTGTAGGAAAACGTTTGTAGGAAAAGATTTGCTGGAAGTAAATACTGCGAGAAATGATAAATTAAGTAACTGCCGTTCTTAAATCACTGGACACTTAACGAATAAAAATTAACAAACAATAAGGAAACTCAAGGATCCCCTGTACAGCCGACTGTTTCAAATTGTTGTGAATCGTCTCGCTGGAATTCGTTATCTTTTGGAAACAAAAATCTCCACGCAAATGGAAAGTTTGCAAGAAGCTTATCTGCTTAAAACAGCGTACTCTCTTGATCCGTGCTATTATAGTGTAATGTTGGTTGATCCGTGCACGCGCATCCTAACAAATATCCGCGTCGTCGTCCTTGTTCGACGATTTACCGATCGTTTGTCATTGTTATCGGTTGTCACTGTACATCAATTCGTTAAAACTCGTGCGATTTGTCTTGCTGAATATTAACCCTCTAATTGATGGGGTACGATACTTGTTACGTAAATTGTTCGGGGACAGTTTGCCTACGATCAAAAATATGGTTCGAATGTATTTTACCGGCAAACAATGAAAGCAGGCCACAAGATAAGATACCACGCGTTGGGACGAAGTCATTTGTCGTGTTCCTAGAGTGTTGCCTATGCAAAAATCTTAAACCACTTTTAAAGCAGCCATTAATGCTTGAATCCAAGGTTTCGCCACGCTTTTACGATAAAAAAATATTCTTCCTATGTTTAGAAAATAATTCTGACGATAACGTTGGTTGAAGAAAAGGATAGAAGTAGTATAAAAATGAATTTCTGGATCGCAAAGGGTTAAATATTTAGAGACGCAACGATCAAACTTACTTTTCGTGGTCGGTGAGATTCCATCCATTGAGGTCCGGCACGTTGCACCAATGCTCGTTCGGTACCAACGTGATGAAGAATTGTGTGAAGTAGAGGAACGCGTAGACGAAGGTGAAGGGCAGAAGCAAGAAGAAAAGGAACCATTGGTAGCGGCTGGCCTCGCCGACGTACGGCAGGATGTCGTCGAAGGCCATGATCTTAGGACGCTCGCCTTCTTCCACTTTCACGGACTCCACCATGACTGTCATTGTTTCGATCTCTGGAAATTAGCGATCGCCGATTACTTAACTCGAGTTACAACGCATGCATGCCGGTATTGGGTTCAGGGTGAGCCCCGAGCATAAAAAAACGATCCTTGATCATTTTTTCATCGAACGTTAATCGTCCTCTCGGGTCGGGAATTAGCTTGGGAGCTTAAAACGGAAGCACTCGAAGACAAGTAGATTAATTCTGTCGACTGGTCGCAGTGTGAGAAGAAGAATGGTTTCGATAATTACACTGACGTTTAGTGTCAAGAGCCAAATTAATTTGTTGCTAAAAGGTCGCTCGAGGATCGCGCGAAACAGTTACACGCTGACGTTGCAACCATAATAACGGTAGAACTCGAGGAAACGAATCGTCTTGTAACTCGATCGACATATTGATTCGAAAAAATAAATTGTCATTGAAATAACAGTATTCGCTGGAGGGAAATGGTAATTAGGCGAATAGAATGTTGCTCGTTAGTTTTGCGAACAGTAATCGATACTAAAGAAAACTCGAACTCGTTGTGTACTTTAAAATCTTCAACATTAAAATAGTTAAGTTTATCGTGATACTCTAGCCTAACAAAATTCACATAAGACACATATAATACTCGTACGTTGTATGGAAATTAATACAGCACGAAACGGTATATTGCAGAAATATTCGATTTAATCTACTCAAAAACATTAGTATGCGAATACATAACTCTGAGATAATTAAACATTTGCGTCTATTGAATAAATTCCTCTGATAGAAGAAGTAATTTATGTTTGAGCATGAATGTCATAAAACGGACATTTGCATGAAATAAAATAGAAGTTTGTAAGCGTCGTTAGGAATATTGATAATGTCGTCTGCGGGAGAACTGAAGGAAACGAAAGAACTTTGCTTCTTTCGACGAATGAGTTTCTAATTCGACGCTAATCAAGCACCCGTGTTTTTTGTCACCGTTATTCTACGCGAAGTCTTTGTTTTGAAAGAGAAATCCCTGTTGCACGCTCGTTTTTAGACCAGGGCGCGACACAATATTATTTACACCGTGCAGCGAATGCCTGCATGGTCGGTGTTCCCATTTTCCAAATAGCTTCGATATTAAATGCAAACACGCGCGCGTCACAGCCGAAAGTAAATAAAATCAGAGGCAAACGAACATTTTCGAAAAACCCGTTATCGACAAATAGAAACTCGATCAACGGTTCTGTTCCACAAAAATTTTCTTCGCGGCTATGATTCACTGTTCTCGAAGAAACTCGAGGCAAGGTTTTTCTAGCTCGACCATCGGCACGCGCTGTACTAGGCAAACTCATAAACGTTTCATAAATAGGGATTAGTATTTATTACAGCTTCTTATACTTCTTTCGCTATGAGAAATAGATAGAGAAAAAATAGAAATAATGACAGGTGTACAGGAAACGAGGAAACCATGACATAACTCCCATTTTCTACGGGCTCGGTGAAATTTGCATAAAGCGTGTTGCGCATTCTACGATGATGCAGTGCAGCCAGTAGACGCAGCGGCGTGAATGGCAATATGTCGACGAATTTGATCGGTGCAATTTAATTATAAAAGAAACATCATATTCGTATGAAAGTGTGTGATTTAATATCGTGGATCCTTAAAAAATGTCTAATAGAACACATATCAAACAATTTTCGTAAAATGGATTAACAGTTTGTCGAATCCATTCTGCATAAATCTTGCAATTATATGTATTTAATACTGTTCACCATAAATTGCATCACTTTTTTTAAATAATCACTTAATAAAATTGTTATTTGAACCACGATATTGTTCGTAGGGTATCAAATTTCTCTCGCGTTCAACCGTTTTTTCGATAGTGTTTACAGTGGCGAGCCGGCAATCTTCAGCAACTGGTTACACAAAACTTCACACCTTGAACAATTTTATCCCGTAGTGCTAATTATTAATGGAACGATCATAGCACAGATACATGATTTTGCATACGATTTTCCACGTCTGCGTTTTCTCGCCTTCTCGATCCGGGAAAGCGATCATCATTGAAATTCATCGATGCACATGGCGATAGGTGGCAGCCGACAAAACTTCGCGGAGCGTATAAACGACGCGCAATAAACGTCGCGATGAAAAGTGGAGCACCGATTTTCGCCCGGATTCACTTTCTTTCACCTGCACCTTTTCTCGTACCCACGATCTAGATCCTTACGAGTCACGGCCACTTCACGGCCCGTTGTTGACCCTGTCACACTCCGGATCATGGATTTACCGAAGGAATCTTTGCGACAGTGATCGACGATACCGGAAATCGAAAGGTGAACGAAACACGATGTACATCCAAAACAGCATTTACCTGGCCAATTAATTGTTTCGAGCACAACTCGTTGAAAATTATCCGAGATGATCTATCGATTGGCAACGACCGACCGGAAAGGGAAGACGACTCGAAGAAGGCACAAAGCTTCGTTCCCTGGCGCTCTTCTTCTCTTTCGAGAGATCCGCTTCTCGGCGAAACGACGGACACGCGAATCGCAACGATCAACCGTAGACCCTGGAACCGGGACACGTGCTCGATCTCGATCGTGACAGTGATCTTGGTCGACGTGTGCACGAGATCTCTGGACTTTTCGGACGGCTCGCTACATCATCGTTTAAAAGGGGGCACGCACGGACTGTTCGCGGTGCGGACAATTAGCGAGGCTTTATAGCGCGTGCAGACGAAAGCGGAACCCCACCAGCGACGCCGGTCGACCATTGGACGCGACTCCTTTGGGCCCCCGTGGATCGTCCGTGACGTCACTGGAGAACACTTACGACGGGTGATTTCGCGGTACGCGTGCCTCGATGGATTTTCCTCGTGACGCTGCCATTTTTTGTCGCGTGTCGACGATCGACCAGTTTCATAATTAACACTTTGCGGTACGAGACGTTCGTCGTACTTCGTTTCAACGAGTCTAGATCGTACGTCCTCCCGTATCATTTATCCGTAGACTTTTTGATCGCTCAAACCTGGGACACCCTGTATCGCGAAGATCAGCTCGTTGCAATTTAAATTATAATCGTGATCGGTAAAAGGTAAAACTCCCATTATTATTACGTGTCTTCAATACACGTATTCTATATCTCACATATTTTTGCATACGTTCGCATGCAATATTTTTATGTTTCGCATATTTGCATGTTTCAACATATTTCAAGCGCATAAACATCCGCGGTTTACTGATAACATTGACCGTAACACGAACCTCGGATGTGGGACGAATCAGCAAATAATAATAAATAATAATGACTTCGAAGTTTCGCGCGATAACTGATCAAACGGATTGATTTTCCCGAGTTCTCGTGGAACGAGGTTAACAAAGTTCCCTCGATTACCAGTGATTAACACCGATGTCATTCGAATATTCCAAACAAAGCGACCCCACCGATCGCTCTCAGTATATTCGGTATGTGTAATGGAGTTTATTCGCGAAACTCCGGATACGGAAACTCGGAAACTCCGCCAACAGAGATACGCGCTACAGAAACCTGTTACCCTTGAAGAAAAGAGAATCATGAGATAAATATACGGCATGGAATTGCTTTGTTTATGCCGGAATCTGATACGTAATGAAACATAATGCGAAATCTCGAAATTCACGTGATTGACAGCAAAGTCTCCCTATTGACAATTCGCCGAACGCGCGATAAGTTCCCGACTCTCCGTTCCTATCGAACATGTTTGAGCGTATTGTCCCAAGTATCTGATTATTTGGACAATTGGACTATTCGAAATAGTCGTAGAACAGTTAAAAATATTCATATAGTTCGAATATTAATAAAAAAAAGGGACCGTGTACCCAGAACCGAGGCTTTAATTTGAATCCATAGCGATTATACGCTTCGGAGACTAATATAAAATAATTCTAAAGCTAATATTTTTTAACAGATAGGAATAAAGGCACGTCATAAATTTTTACATGATCGTGAGTCGGTGCGTAAAACCATGCAGTTTGCATCGTTGAATACGATTCACTCGGTTACATCTATACTTAATTTTCAATCCGTGCTGGAAACATTATACTTTACACCCGCAATGTTTCGCAACGATTTGTCGATATTTACAAGCATTACAAGCATATTAATTAAACGTGATACCAGAAGTCTGATGGTGGGGGTTCTCCGGTGAGCGGTTTGAACCGGAAGTCGAGTTGTTTGATGGAGGAGATAACTTGATCATGGAAAATAACTCATCGCCATAAATCTACAGTTGTACCTGATTTCCGAAATATGTATCTCGCTTTTAAGGCTAGGCAATAAAAATGACAAACGATTGCGATTCTTCGCGTCGAGTCTCGCAAGAAATTGACGATCGAAGTGCTCGTCCAGATTAGACAGGACATTAATCAATCCGAACAAACGATGGAAAAACGTTGTTTGGAAGTTCTCGCGGCTATTTTTGACACGCCAGAAGACAAACAATAATTTTCTTTCGTCGTTCGATACATGCTACTGTTCAACAGCCTGTCTGCACAGTCCAGTGGTGATACAAAAAATTGTAATAAATCATTGTTAGACGATATCGAACGATGCAACGAGTTGGTTTAGGTTTAGAAAAATACATTTTGTGGCGGTTGCATTTCTGGATACATCGATATATATCAATGAATAAAATTGCATTCTGTTTGTGCACTATTCAATGCCGTTTAATTTTACTTTAACCGTTCTAGAGGTCTTTTCCCAGTTGCATGGGGCACTCTATATTCTGAACAAACGTATCGTGCAATTAAATTAATCACAGATAACGACCTTTTGTTTTCATTTTAATGTTCCTGAATCTTCCGATTGGGCAGTTACTGTTTCTACGTTAAGAAACAATGCACAACTCGTTGATCGATCGCTATTCGAGCGTAAAAAGGAGAGCATCCTGTTGCAATTAATTCCATTTTTCTCAATACACGTGTGCATTCCACGGCAGACAGCATTTCCCTCGTTTTTCTTTTTCACCTCGTTTCAGCGTCACGCGAAAGAGACAATGTTAATTAGCACGACTAATAAGTCTTGCGCGCGTCGGACATTATTCGGTAGAAAAAAGTTTACGCGCGATTTCATTAACGCATTATGAAAGTGTACACATTGTAGTCTTTCTTAACGGCGGATAATAATGTTCTTTAATCACCAGGTCCAGCGGTGATAATTATCGGTATCGTGGTATTCAGGGTCGTCGATTCTACGCGGAAAATCTATAGATGTCTTTGATACTAATTGCTCATTGTAGTCGTTAGCATTGTTGCAAGCACGGCGTTGTCGTGCAATTTTTATTCCACGGTCGTTTTTCTTCGGTTTTCCTTCCGTTAGATCAACGCGTTGACTGCCGCGGTGGTCACCGGTGACCAATGCTTCGATCTTACGTTTCTTTCGAGTACTCGCAAGAAGTAAATCCCAATTAATATTGGGGAATATTTATAACCTAGACAGCCAACGCGTTATCAATCTCGATAATAATCTTTCACGTCTATTAATATCCGAGATTCGAATTCTTCCGCGAGTCTGTTACCTCCATTACGCAGCAACGTTAAGATAACTTTCTCAAAGTTGTCGGTAAACATTTTTACTCATGTTTTGTTTGAAATTGTATACCGAGCGTCGAGTAACTTTTAGTAATTTATGCTCGTCGATATCTGAGTTTCAGGAATACGATACGCGACGCGCCTTCGTCTCTAGCCGCGACCGAATAATTACATACTGAATCGTTGATAAAACAACTGTCAGAAATGCAAATGTTTTCGTCTGCAAGAGGCAGGCGTAGGTGAAACGCATGACACCGATACGCCTCCTATAATTAACGTCATACAGATGGAAAATCCCTGTATTGCCTTGTTATCAGTGACGGTACGACGGGCGTAGTAAATTTCGTGGTGCGGTTAACACGCTGATTGCCACGATGATCACTGCTGACAGGTGCTTCGAGCTTAAATCGCACAGTGAGATTTTTTCACAAAAAAAAAAAAATCAGAGAAAATACATATAACGCCAACAATTATAGATTTATCCTCTTCGATTTTTGAAAACTAAGTTCGACGAAATAGTTTGATAGTTTCTTGTAAAACTGGTTTCTATAATATACGTGGTTTGGGATGATTGTATTCTTTATTTGGCGATGTAAACATTACGCGATAAATGATGTGAAACGACCTTTTCGAGGAAATCTATGCTTTGCATAACTCGTTTACATTGGTCGCGGGTTACATAAATCGTTGAGTGGTTCACCAGAACGAATATTTTGTTTTCTAGGTAGACCCACAGCATCTGATTATATTCTGTTATCAGTCGCCGCGAAATCCCTTCATCCGAGACGTTCCGGTTTTGTTTTATCCCGCGAAAACATAATTGGACACCGTAGAATACAGTCGCGAGTCGTAGCGGCATCGTTATTTAGACGAATGATAGTGTAATGCGTGATGACAATTCAAACATTAAGCAGTAAGTCTAAAGATACACGGTGTCAGTCGAAGACAAAAGACAGGGTAACTAAGTCTGTGTTTTTTCACGAGTTACGCTCATATTATTGAACTTTTCGATGATCTTACGTAAGTCAGGTCGTTGTTCTAGCATGATTTTCTGGAAAAGATAAGACGTTGTATCGCATACATCGAAGGTACAAGCAAATAAAATATTTCCTTCTAGCGTAGTACAGGATTATAATTTACGAATTTAATTGCGACATTGAAATTAATAATGTAAATCAATGTTCTTTCGCGTCCTGAATGTAGATTGTTGACTGAAAAGCTCGATTTAAATGCTAGCAGCATAATGCAACAGTCAATGATAGAATATTTCCTATTCCAGACACGTAAACAGTTCTCGAAGGAAAATTTTCACATGACACTTCAAAACTAGTCTAGACCCCAAGCAGTCAACTGTTTATCGTCTGTGTTGACAGAAACCATTCTTTGGGGTACTAATAAAAAGTCGGTTAGGTTCTAATACCTCAAACAGTTTTACTGCTGAGTCAATAGTAGCTGGAGAATCGACTTTATTAGTACTCCTTATCTTGACTTTGACAAAGTCTTGGACTTTGCATGATTTTTAGAGCGGTACAGGCTTCAAATTATCTAGGAAATGTATTTATACGAACTCTGTAGAAAGCAATAGCGTAACACAAAGAGTTGCCAGTCGAGTTTGAAATTATACCTGACCTAAAAGGGCGTCCTCGAAAAAAGCGACGATCAACTCAGGTAGAAAATTTGGCATCTCAAATAATATTTCAAGTGTAATCTTACAAGTTCCCTGTACCATACTTCGAGTAGACGTGTCCAAAAAATTTATAGAGGTACAAAAATGGTTGGTAATCAACTCCGCGACTCTAAATATTGCACAATAAATTCAGATACACCCCAGAACTAAATAAATTTTCACGTTCTTTGCTCGTAGGAATTGTAACAGATTCGTCTCGTTTTCTTACCTTTGCGAAGAGCCTCTCGTTCACCGTTATATTTTCGAGTCTCGTACCGATCGCATTTACGTGAAGTCTAGCTCTCTGGTCGTTCCAGACCCCGGGTTTCGGCAGAAAACAGAGTCCCATTACTTGTTGGTCGTTAGAATCTCAAAGGGCCCGACTCCGATTTCGCATTGCAACGGGATCAAACGATTTCCATGCACTGTCACTGGTGTCACTGTTCG